GCAACAGAGCCAGGAGGAGGAGCTGAAGAAGAAAGCGAAGCCTTCTTACCCGCCGGGGAAGAGGAAGGAGAGGAGCCAGGCTTACGCTTCTGACTTAAAGAGACCGGTGTCCCAGCAACTACGTACTGGGCAACGGATTCCAGTGTCTCAACCGGAGAAGCCGAACGAGAGCACACACGACGGCCGTTAGGAGAGCGATGGACATCCGCCTGCACCGACAGGCGGCGGGGAGAGCCGATAGATGGAGGAAGAGGATGGGAAGGAGGATCGGAGGGGGACGAGGAAGAAGACACAGGAGACATGACAGACCGGGTTGAAAGAAGGGGAACCCCAGACAGAAGACCAGGAGGGGGACCCCTCGGGAAAGAACTCAAAGGAACAGAGGAGGGGGCAGTGGGAGTATCAGGGTCCAAGGCCCGGAAACGGTTGAGAGTCTGAGGAAGGGGGGAAGGACGAGGAGAGGAAGAGCGCAACACGCGAGCATAAGAGATGTTAGTATAAGGCGGGAGCCGGCGAACCTGGCGTCTCGCCTCAGGAAAAGACAAACGCTCCCGGTGCTTCAGGTTAAGGACGGCCGCCTCAAGCTTGTAATGTACACAGGCACGGGAGAACGTAGGATGGGCCTCACCGCAGTTGAGGCAGCGAGCTTGGGGAGAAGTGCACTCCGACTTAGAGTGACCTTCACTCCCACACAAAGGACAGAGAGAGACAGTCCCAGAGCAGCGGAGGGCACCATGCCCAAACCTCCAGCACTTATTACAAAGTCGAGGAGAAGGAATATACTCCTGGACAGAGCACCTAGCACCAGCAAGAATGACAGAGGATGGAAGGGTCCTACCATCAAAGGTGATCTTCACAACGCGAAGGGGTTGACGGCGACGACCACGAGGGGGACGAGTAAATGAGTCGACCTGGAGGACAGAATGGCCTTGGGCATCAAGGATATGCCGAATATCATCGTGGCAATCCTGCAGATTCCGAACACCGGTTGCAACATGGGGTGGGAGGAGAATAGTGCCAACACTGGAATTCATCTGAACGTTCTTGGAGACCCGAACAGGGATCTCGCCAAGGCAAGATAAGGCAGCCAAGCGGGAAGCCGCATCCTGAGAAGGAGCAGCAACGACACGTGTACCGAGACGAGTGGGGTTGAAAGTAACACACGCATCCACGGAATCTACAAGATGCCGATGGAGGGAGAAATCGTCAGGAGGCGCAGAATCAAGAGGGAGGAGATCAAAGTATTTGGCCCATGAAGCAGGACCAAACAAGGCCTGATACGCATCAGCACGGGAAGGAATCGAGCGAGTGCGGTTGGGGCGCGAACGGCGTTGAGAACCCCTAGAGAGAGAGGGGTCAAAAGGCGCAGTAGTCACAACGAAAGACTTAGCCACACCAGGGGACGAAGTGGTCACCACCGGGGGCTGGAGGCTCGACCCAACCTCAGAGGAGGGAGGGGAGCTGGGGGAAGAAGTCAGGACGGTCAAAGGAGGAGCAAGGTCGGGGCCCAACGCAGCGGGAGCTACAGAGCCTGGTCTTCCAATACAGGCCGACTCGGGGGCTTGGTCGCCCACCCCACGAGCCTGAGAGGGTACAACGGAAACATTCAACGACATAGAGACGAAAAGTGAAAAATTCATCCACGAATGTGCCCCCATACCCACCATGGAGCCACAATTAGAGGCAGGACACCCAACAGGAAGCTATCGCCGATCATGCCGGGGCCCCCTAGGGGTGCATCGTGAGTATACGCCCCACAAACGCCACCTTAAGAACCGTCAGTCCGTCGAGATCGGGTTCAGCGACGAAAGGGGGATTGACAATAAAAGGTTCCCCTCGCTCGAGACGTCGGGTACTACAGTTCTACGGGTGCAAGAGTATGCCTCCTCAAGCACCCGGGCGTCAAAATAGAAGAAGTCCAAAGAAATAATCCAAAACAAGCAAAAGGTCGGCAGGAAACGACAAGCAGATAGGAGAAGAGGGGGGAGAAAAACGAAACATAAGGAAAAGGAAAAGCGATCCGGCACAATTGGAGAAGACAGCAGCAGGAGTGCAAGGCCAGAAAAGGACAGAGGACTGCCCAACGGAGCATCACACTCCGGCAGCCGTCCACCAAGCCCCCTCACGACGCCAACGGGCCGGAAGGGGAGGGGGAGCTTATATATAAACTGTATAGAGTGTAATAACAGTAAAACTATTTGTTTATTGTTTTATGAACATAATTGAATCACTAATACACACTACTATATGAGTACTGGAACACTTGATGATATATTGGACTTGTATCCAAGATTGACCATGTAATATATCATTTATTCAATGTATATATATGATATAACTATATAACCTGAGCTTGTAAAAGCACCTTCATCACCTTCAGTGATTAAGTGCTTAATTGCACACTAGTTTCTTTATCAGCTACCTCACCCTGTCAGAGTAAATGAGACAGATGTATGTGAATGCATGTGTGTGTGTGTATATATGTATGTATATGTGTGTGTGTGTATGTATATGTATGGGTATAAAGTATACTGTATATGGAAGCTGATCAGAATTACATTTCACCTTTGTGAATGTACATTAATGACACTATGTAAAAGACACATCAAACACTTTATGTAGGGCATACGTAAATCTGTGTATCTATGTATTTATGTAGCTTAGCATTTTAAAAGCACCGAATCACCTTCTGTGGTTAAGTGTTCAATAAACCCTTGAACTCTATGTTTAACATTTCTCTAACCCTGTCCATGGAGGACAGAAGAAAATGTATATATGCTGGTTAGCATTGTAAATGTGTGGCCACGTCTGTGGTAGTAAAAAAAAAAAAAAAAAAAAAAAAACACCATACTTTTGAGTATAGCAATGATTCACCCCTTTTATTATATAAATATATCACAATACACACTATTGAATAATATTAATGAAAAAAAATAAATCATTGAAATAATTAGGTAATAATATCTTTGTGGCAACTCTCACCTGTCAGCTCGGATGACGCTGAATGGCTCTGATGACCGCTCTATCAACGCACACATTTTGCCAGATTTCCTCAGCCTATTGCGCCCAAAATATGTTGCCTACGATTTTTTTTCCCGTGCTCAGGGAACACAAATGAACATTTTCAGAAGACGAAATGATTTTTTATAATTTTTTTTCTTGCGGACAGGGGTGTAAATCTCCTCAGGACCCCTTAGCAGCTTAACCCTTCAATTGTGCATCGCATCATATGATGCTTTGACCGACTTGCAGTAAATTGCGCATCGCATCATGTGATGCTTTGCAGTACTACGCAAGATTTAAACGGCCCGCGGATACACGGGGTTCACCAAACCTTCATCAGAGCTCTTGTAAACAGACGCCATTTTTTTAAAAAATCGTGGGCCAAACTCCCGGGTGTTATTGGCCTCAGTATTGAGTGAGCAACCAAGCCTGACGCACGCAGCATGAGCTAACACCACTGCTGTTCAGCTTGTGACCACAGCATCGCCTAAAAATGCCATAATATACTTGTTCATGCTATTATGTAGCGATGATATTACAGAAGACCCCTGACTGTGATAAAACTGACCAGGGTTTTGATAATAGCAGGATTGTGGTGATATTTGGCGCTGTGCGCCATGGAGGGAGGAGTAATGCTGTGGGAGGGAGGATGGTGGCGTTGTCTTTTGAGTGTGTGTGGCCAACTTTTATTGACTGCACTCACCATACCAGCTTAGTGGTTCGCTATGGTGAACACAAATGTAGATACTTATATATAACGTGTGTATAGTGTGAGATAACAGCGAGAGTAGGAGGTTGGGAGCCGCCATTTCGGTGAGGGAGGAGCGTCGCCTGCAGGACTTATGTTGTTTACTGATGACCACGATGGTCTTTGGGCACCATACCAGTTTACTTGTACAAGTATGGTGAATAAAACGGGTAGATATTTATATATAATGTGTGTATATAGCGTAATAACACCACAAACAGTATTGTTGTAGGAGAAATATTAGTGCGTCTGGCCTTGAGGGCGGCCGCCACCAGCTGACTGTGTGAGTAGCTACGTCTTTGTGCCTTTACTCACCATACAAGCTTAGATGTACAGTTATGGTGAACAAAACATGTAAATACTTATATATAACATCTGTATATAAAAGCAAAAACAGTATGGTGGGTGGAGAATGGTGGCAAGTCAGGTGAGGTGAGGGAGTGGCAGCCAGTGGCAGCCAGTCACTGCCTGCCACTGCCACTCAGCATACCAACTTAGTGGTTCGTCATGGTGAACAAAACATGCAGATACTTATATATAACCTGTGTATATAGTGTAATAACCGACAAAGTATTTGTTCACTGTTTGATGAACATAATTGAATCAACAATATGCACACCATATTTTTGAGTACAGCGATGATTCACTCACTTTATTATATAAATATATCACACTACACACTATTGAATAATATTACAGCAAAAAAACTACGAAAAATCAATCAGAGACATTGAAATAATTAGGTAATTATCTCTTTGTGGAAACTCTGGCCTGACAGCTGGCGATCAACAGACCGCCTGGGACGCACGCTCAGTCAGCGCCTGATTTTTGTCAGAATTCCCCGCCCTATAGTGGGCAATATATGCCACTTACGATTTTTTTATTATTTTTCCCGTGATCAGTGAACACAAATTAACAGGTTAGGAAGAATTTTTTTTTTTTTTTTTTTTTTTTTTTTTTTTTTTGTATGCGCCTGTGGGTGTTAAATGGTATATAGCTATGCGCCATTTAAGGGTTAATGGTTAATGATTATAATTTTTAATGTGTCATCAAAGCGTCTTCAAAGAAATGAGCTCAATTTTTTTTTTTTGTTAAATAGGGGCCTAGTCCATGATCACAATTGGGTAACTCCTGTTGTTCAGGATCATTAAGATGGAAACCCAAGTGAAGCTTCACCAAACATACCAATAAACAGACTGCAGGCCTTGTGCTCAAAGATTCTACATAAACACATCAACACACAACATACCTTCCTTTGCTTGAGGAGCTTTGCTCTTGAATGACAAAATTCTTGTTCCTTGTGCCTGGCCATCATTCAGGTTTTCACTCATTTTCTCTTGGTATTCTCTCTGCAAATATTTAAATCCCTTTTCACACATTATCACCAAAGATGCACTTAGCAACAGTTTAAAAAAAAAAAAAAGTTGAATGTAATGAAATACCATTTTCTGGAGGCTCCCTGGAGATATCAGACTAATAAACACTATATTAGTCTGAGGCTTCAGTCAACGCAGTTCTGCCTACCGGGGACCATGAGCCAAAACCTGGCCCCCCTCATAGAGGCACAGGGAGCAATGGCCTGAGGAAACGCCCTTCTATTTGGGAGTATTCCATGTCTGCCATCGGCCAGAGTTAGGCACCCAGAAAGGTAGGCATTTCAAAACAAGCCCTACTTGGTAGGAAATTGCAAACCCATGTCCGAACAGATAAACAGAACTTCCCCAAAAGCAAACAAGCAAACTTCATCCACCACTGCTTGTCAGCGCAGACCGTCCCTCCCGGGAGAGGGAGTCCTGGACCCCCCTGCTAGCTGCCCACTCCTTAGTTCGGAGACCAAGCATCAAAAACGAAAACGAAAACGAAACCGTCGACTGGAGGAAGGGAGGGGAGGAAGGGAGGGGAGAGAGGGTAGGTTCCAGGTAGCCTCCAGGTCTCAACCAGAAAATGGTGTTTCATTACATTCAACACTTGTTTTCTATGGGGGAACCCCCTCCGGCCTCCTGGAGCCATATAACAAAAGTAGTAAAAGAGGGACTTATCTGGAAAGCAGCTGCACTGCGAGCCTCATCTCGAAGGCTAGACAACTGGGTGCAGCCTGCAACCGAAGCACACAAATGAACGACTTGGACCAGGAATGTTCACAAAATAATGAGTGGCCAGGATTTTGCCCGACCTCCAAAACCTCCATGCCAGATTATCAGCCCAGGACATGGTCCCAAACACAGTGACAAGAGCCGCAAACTGATGAACGGCAAGGGCACAAGGGTAAACTGCAGGCTGGCGATACATAATAACCCTGTGGACAACCTGGAAGATCCGAGCCCTAGAACAGGGAATGAGGGAAACCAGATCAACCGAAAGAGCACCCCTGGATACAGAAGCCAAGGTGCGCAAATAACAGCTAAGAGCCGATGCGGTTAAATACAGTTTGAACAAAATTGAACAACTTTGATTTTCACGCATTATGGGGGCCATATTTGATGGAGCACTCGGGACAGAAGAGCTTCCAATAGTAACAAGGGGACTCACTGCAATAAACACTATCAATGTATTTGATATCACATATACAATAACGAAGACAGGTGTTTATGAAATGCTGTACCTGTATAAACACTTATGCAAGCCCCTTTGGGAATCTTTGCCAGCAGTCTAAGATTGTGGCTCAAGGAAAAATGAATCATACTAACCCCCCCCCCATCTGATATGTATCATTGCATATAGCATAGAAGCAAAATTTGTATCTTGACAGCTTCGCATACTTCACAATCAGTAGACCAGAGGCGCAAAAATTTACAGCTAAAGTTAGCGCAGGAATTCCAAAGTTAGTTGGAGACACTCAAATGGGTGCTCACCTATGCAAACATATTAGCCATCAAAAAGGCTGAGGAACATGCTCTTGTTGAACAGTAACAACACATCATACACAGATTCGAGAACTGCCACTGAAACCTTGCAGCAAGAACACTTGTGTGACAACATCCATCTGTTCACAAATGGTGTATCATTAATGTACTCAAACATCAAGGTCGTCAAATATTTATGAACTGGGTGCCAAGTTGCATATGAATACCAGAAAATGACACTACAAATGAAGATGCAAAACTTGCAACCAAGGGAGGGGGAATATAGTTATTGACATACAACAATCTAGCACAGATTTAAGAAAGAAATTAAGAGTTACAGCAATGCAGAAATGTTCAGTAACCATAATGCAACAGCTGCAATATTAGGATTGGTAGCGTGGTAAAAGAATTCAATCAACTATGAACCACTTATTCAGAGGAAAGGGTACAATAGAAAACCATTAGTATACCACATCAGACTTGGATACCCATGTGTGTATGGAAATAGGCTTACAGGTTCCAGAAGAGGAAGTGTCAGCATTGAGGAGAAAAGCCCAACAGACCACTGGAATATCTAACAAGATGTAGTTACAAACGAAATAAGATTTCAATTGAGATTTAGCAGTGCAGAGGAAGTTATTAAGCCCATGGACATAACCTTACCAAGGCCAACATACGAGTCATAAATACTCATCCACTGCCTAAGACAGAAATGAGTAACACTTAGTGGGTCAACCAGAGACTTTGGGCCCACAAAGGAATTAAACTACTGGCAGCTCAGAAGTGCTACCAATCACAACAGATAGCCTGTATGCAAACTCAACAGAATGGCTACCAACCTAATCAAACTGAATAGTCCAATTGTGTACAAAATGTCTTATATTTCACTTTATCTGCACTTTGAAATGCACAAAAACCTAGTGCCGACTTCCCTGCCAGCACAGAGCTACACACAGTTTAGAGGATAAAACATTGCAGGTATGTAGCTGGTAGGGGGTCACTGACCTTAAGCAACAGGTAGTTTGATGGTTCCTTGTATGTCAAACTTAACGAGTCAATTGCTGGTAAATCCGAGCCGGTGGGCCGTACCGTACCATATTAACCGTGGGTGGTGTTGGGAGAGAGGGGAGTGTTGGAAGGGACCACCTGGGGCATAATGGTCAGGAAGGGAGGGAGGGAGTTGGTCAGGAAGGCAGAAGGCCAGGAAGGGAGAACTTCTGTGTGCGAGTGTCTCGTTTAAGCCTAACAAAGGAAGGTGGCATTGGGGGTGTTGCAAGAATTATATTGTTTTCTTATTGTTGTGGAGAGCTAGTTACAAATATTAATTAAATAACACTAATAGTTGAACAGTACAGTACTTGGTTTGCTATTCATTTAAATATTTACAATAAAATAAAATGGGATTTAACAGAACTTAAGGCGCATACATTAAAAGTCATCGTACAGCGTGTCAACACCCACGTGTCGACACATGTGGAGGGGAGATGGGAAGGTTGGCGTGAGGTGGGGGGGGGGGGGGGGGGCAGGCAGGAGATCACAAGTGTCTGTTCCAGTCTCAGCCCGCCCGCCCACCCACCTGTTTACCCACTTCCCTGCCCACCCACCTGCCTGCATGCCCACTTACCCACCTGCCAATCCATCCACCAACCTGTTCACCCGCCTGCCTGATAGCCCACCCAGCCACCTGTTCACCCACCTGCCTGCCTGCTTGCCCACCCAACCACCTGTTCACCCACCTACCTGCACACCCCACCCACCAACCTGTTCACCCACTTCCCTGTCCACCCACCTGTTTACCCACATGACTGCACGCCCACCCATCCACCTGTCAATCCACCCACCTGCCTGCTCGCCCACCCACCCACCTATTCACCCACCTGCCTGCTCGAACCTGTTCATCCACCAAGCCCATCTACCTGCCATCCACTCATCCAAAACCCACCTGCCTGCACCCACCTATCCCTGTCTGAACCTGCCTGCCCACCAACTTTCCCTACCCACCTACCAGCTAGGCAGCTAACCACCCACCCAGCCCCCACACAGTATTGTGTGTCAATTCTAATCACGAGTGTGGTATAAAAATTGTTGGAAATGGTCCCTTTTTGATTCAGTGGTGAAAAAGTACTATTATCTGGAACACGTGATAATCCGGCTGGGGGTCCTTCCCATATAGTCCGGATGATCGAGTGGAGACAGTATTCTAATTACTGTACTAACAGTTACTGTGTGTGATAGTATTAGTATTGACAAAGCATGGCCTTACTAACTCCTTCAAGAGTTTAGGTGAGCTCTTTTCCATAAATGGTAATATGGGACCCAGTGCCTACTTTCAAAAGATGCTAAAGGGTAACTTGACACACTTGCAGTATACACAACTAGCCTGGTCTGCACTAGAGCACATCTACCTTAATACAAACAGCATGAAAATGTCTAACAGATCCCAAGGTATGGAGCTGCCTGGCTTAAAAAAAAAAAAAAAAAAATGCCATCCAGTTTTCAGATGTAAAGGTAGACGTTTAGCTCAGTGTGGGTCGATTATTAAACTTCTCATCACTTTTATATGCTTGCCATGACAGGACACACAAATTCAGGGCCTAACACACACACACACACACACATTCTGAGTCGGGTATACACGTGGCCAGCCAGGTTACAAAACAGTAGATGCAAGCCTACCTGCTGGAGTGACATCTCATCATCCTCGCTGTTCCTTTCACCTCCAGATGCCTCCATGCTGGTGACCAAGAGGTGGTGCGACCTCTCCAAGTCTGTTGTGCTGCGGTTGGGGATAAATCTGAAAAAGTTGCGATATATTTCATGGTATTTTCAATCCTACTCGGGTACTCTAGCCCACAGGTAACTAGAACCTGGATGTAGTGTCCTTACTATGCTAAAAGTAAATTAACCTTTTGCAAACTATATTTCCAAAACCTGGGTCGTTTCCACAACCAGGTTTCCTGGTGATACAAGTACAAGGCATACTGTATAATACACAAAATCTCAAAACCAGTGTTGAAAGTAATGAAATGCCATTTTCTGGGCGAGACCTGGAGGCTCCCCAGAGCTAACCGGGCTGATATGAATGTATTAGACCCTGGCATCAGCCAATGCGCATTGAGTCGAGTGGGGGGAAAAAAATGCTGACCAGTTGCCGGGGAGCCTCCGGGTCTCACCCAGAAAATGCCATTTCATTACATTCAACGCTAGTTTTCTGGGGGGAGCCCCATTGGCTCCCCAGAGCTACTTGTCCATAGATAAAACAAGAGGGACTTACCTGGGAGGCGGCCGCCACTCGCTCCTCAACTTGAAGTGAAGACAGCTGACTGCAACCCCTGACCCAAAGCATCACAGGCCCTACTATGGCCAGGAACATTAACTAGACAGCGAGCAGCCAGGTCCCTGTTGACCTCTAGAAACCCAGTGCCCAAGACGGCAGCCAAAGCGTTAAACCTACAAACGTCATGGGCACGAGGATAGACCGCAGGCTGGCTGGACTGAATAACCCTGCAAACGACCTGGGAGATCCGAACCCCTGGAACTTCGAAGAAGGAAAACTGGGTCAACCCACAACCCGCTCTCGCACAAGACAGCACATATGTGACTTAATGCCTAAAGTCAATATGTTGAATATGAATTAGTACATACGTGGTATAATCCCAGTTACATTTTTTCCATGGGCCAAACTCTTCCCCACGTACCAATTTACGTCTCTCAGTACCCGTCCATCGCCGTAGACAGCAGAATAGTCGTGATTGGTTTAATTATGAAAATAGTAGTTTTCAGGTCCCACATGGGTTGTGAAATTTACCTACTGTTGTCCATGCTCTTAAAATATTACAGATCAGCTACATCCTATTGAAGGTTCGTAGTTTTGTTTTGAGAAATATTAGTTGTTCTTAGTAAATTATAATAAGCACTAAAAATTATTACATAGAATAATAGTGCTTCACCAGTCAACATTATATACACTAGTCTGTGCTTTAAAATTTTTAAAGAATGTATTGTAGGAACGTCAACAGAAAACTATGTTACGTTGGAATGTCTATGGGGGTAAACTACTGCAAACAGGATTACATAGCATCTACTACCTACTGTAGGATGGGTATAGGGTTCACTACCACCTGTTAAGTGGGTAAGGGGTTCATACCACCTGTAGGATGGGTCTGGGTCCAATAAACAGCCATAACATAGGTATGGGGTCCACTACCATGCACAGGATGTGTATGGCTTCCACTACCGCCTGCAGGATGGGTATGGGGTCCACTACCACCCACAGGATGGGTAGAGTCCACTACCAACCACTGGATGGCTATGGAGTCCACTACCACCCACAAGAAGGGTATGGGGGTCCCTAGCACCCATAAGATGGGTATGGGGTCCACTACCACACACAGGAGGGGTATAGGGTCCACTACCACCCACAGGATGGGTATAGAGTCCACTACCAACCACTGGATGGCTATGGTGTCCACTACCACCGACAAGATGGGTATGGGGTCCACTACCACCCACAAGAAGGGTATGGGGTCCACTACCACCCACAAGATGGGTATGGGGTCCACTATCACCCACAAGATGGGTATGGGGTCCACTACCACCAACATGATAGGTATGGGGTCCACTAACACCCATAGGATGGGTAAGGGGTCCAACACCCACAGGATGGGTATAGGGTCCACTACCATCCACAGGATGGGTATGGGGTCCACTACCACCCACAGGATGAGTATGGGGGTCCACTACCACCGACAAGATGGGTATGGGGTCCACTACAGTACCACCCACAAGAAAGGTATGGGTTCCACTACCACCGACATTATTGGTATTGGGTCCACTAACACCCATAGGATGAGTAAGGGGGTCCACTACCACCCACAAGATTGGTATGGGGTCCACTACCACCCAGTTGGTAGTGGACCCCCTCTATCATCCAGTTTAAGAGAAAAACAACTATGTACTAAATAATCAACTCCTTGTAACTTTAATTATGCTGACCTTCCTATCTATATTCAGACTGAGCCTACCATCATTATAACGCTAGGCATAGGAATATTGGTAATTCGCAGTTCAGTAATCATAATGGCAACCAACTGTTGTCACTATTAGGCAGTGACGATGATGCACAAATTGTGGGCGACCTTGAACCGACACACATCTACGGAGGTATTCTTGATGTATGTCTCCGTGTCAACGTCCCCAACACCGTGTGCGCCTCGTCAATAGTGCCAGATATGGCGTCTGATCATCTGGCCATATTAGCCACTGGAAGCTCTATCCTCCCTGGCAGAATGTTCTCCCATACCCATCCTGTGGGTAGTAGTGGACCCCATACCCATCCTGTGGGTAGTAGTGGACCCCATACCCATCTTGTGGGTGCTAGTGGACCCCATACCCATCTAGAGGGTGCTAGTGGACCTTATACCCATCCTGCGGGTGGTAGTGGACCCCATACCCATCCTGTGGGCCGTAGTGCACCAATGCCCATCCTGTGGGTGGTATAGCGACCTCATACCCATACTGTTGGTAGTAGTGGCCCCCCCATACCCAGCCTGTGGACAGTAGTGGACCCCATACTCATTCTGTGAGCGGTAGTGGAGCATATACCCATCCTGTGGATGGATGTGACCCCCATACCCACCCTGTGGGCGGTTGTGGATCCCATACATATCCTGTGAGCAGTAGTGGACCCCCATACCCATCCGCAGGCAGAAGTGGACCCCATAGCCATCCTGTAGGCAGTAGTGGACCCCACACCCACCTTGTAGGCGGTTGTGGACCCCATACGTATTCTGTGGGGGCTAATGGACCCCATACCCACCCTGTGGGTTGTAGTGGACCCCATACCCACCCTGTGGGTGGTAGTGGACCCCATACGCGTCCTATGGGTGGCAATTGAGCGGTAGTTGAGCTCACCTATGGGTGAGCGCCATGTCATGGGTTCGTATCCTGACCAGGGAGGATTTACTGCGCAAATCCTTAACTGTAGCCTCTGTTTAACTCGACAGTAAAATGTGTACATGGTTGTAAAAATGATTCTTCGCGGGGGTCGTATTCCAGGGACTTGCCCGAAACGCTACGTGTACTAGTGGCTGTACAAGAATGTAACAACTATTGTATATGTCAAAAAAAAAAAAAAAAAATTAGTTAACCCCATACCCATCCTGTGGGCGGTAGTAGACGATGTACTCATCTTGTCGGGTGTAGTTAACCATATACCCATTCCGTGGACGGAACTGGACCCTATATTCATGCTGTGGGCGGCAATGGAGGCCATACCCCATCCTGTGGCCGTTAGTAGAAACAATTTTCGTAATATGTGGTCGAGTGTGGATGCCATACACATCCTGTGTGTGGTAGTGGACCATATACTGTACCCATCTAGTAGGCAGTAGTGGACCCCATACCTATCTAATGGGTAGTTATTGGCCCCAGACCCTTCCTACAAGTGGTATGGACCCCTTACCCACTTAACAGGTGGTAGTGAACCCTATACCCACCCTACAGTAGGTAGTAGACACTATACCATCCTGTTTGCAGTAGTTTACCCCATAGACATTCCAACGTAACATCATTTTCTGTTGATATTCCTACAATACATTCTTTAACCCTTCCACTGCTCAGGGGTCCTGAGGACATTCACACCCCTGTGCGCAAGAAAAAAAAAATTAAATTTTGTTTTTCGTCTTCTAAACATGTTAATTTGTGTCCCCCGAGCACAGAAAATATAAAAAAAAAATCATAGGCGACATATTTTGGGCGCAATTGACCGAGGAAGTCTGGCAAAAAGTGGGCGTTGACAGAGCGGTCGTCAGAGCTGGTCAGCGTCACCCGCGCTGACAGATGGGAGTTGACACAAAGATATTATCACTTAATTATTTATATGTCTCCGATTGATTTTTTCTTAGTTTTTTTTGCAGTAATATTATTCAATAGTGTGTATTGTAATATATTTATATAATAAAAGTGGTGAATAATCGCTATACTCAAAAGTATGATGTGCATATTAGTGATTCAATTATATTTATAAAACAAACAAATAGTTTTGCTGCTATTACACTCTATGCACAGGTTATATATAAGTATCTGGACGTTTTGCTCACCATAACGAACCACTAATTTGGTATTGAGAGTCGAAAAGCAACGAGGAGTTACCGCCACACACCAGCAACCACTCATTGCCACTCCCTCAACAACGCCTCACTCGCCCACTTTTTCCTCCCACCACCCTGTTTTATATTTTATTCACAATATACAGACGTTATATATAAGAAACTACATGTTTTGTTCACCACAAGTGTACAACTAAGCAGATAGTTTATTTATTTATTTATGCATATACAAGAATGTACATAAGGAATGTGAGGATACAAATATGGTAATTACAGTCTTGTAAAGCCACTAGCACGCGCAGCGTTTCGGGCAGAAACGTTAGTTTCAGAAACGGGTAGTTAGTTTCGGCACTAAGAGTCGTCGCTATACACACAACTGGCGGCTCCCTCACTCATTCAAGGTCACACGCACTAAACTTTCTCCCCCAACAATACCGTTTGTGGAGTTATGACACTATATACAGACGTTATATATAAGTATGTATATGTTTTGTTCATCACAACTGTACAGCTAAGCTGATATAGTTAGTTCAGGCACTAAAAATCGTCACTATACACACAGTCAGCTGGCGGCTCCCTCACTCATTCAAGGTCACACGCACTAAACTTTCTCCCCCAACAATACTGTTTGCAGTGTTATTACACTATATACACATATTATATATAAGTATCTACATGTTGTATG